TGTTTACAAGCCACTTACCTTATAGCATTTTGTTACAGCATCCAGAAAGGGCTAAAACAATACTTTAGCCAAATGCAAAGTAAAAAAAAGGGGAAATTTTCATGTACAAGAAATGTACAGAGATTTCACACCTGGAACAATAAGTGAGTGAGGTGTAGTCTTAAACAACCCAGCAGCTGAAAGGCCCAGATATTGCCAAGAGAGTGAGAGCCACTGTTACCTTGTACAGTGACAAGGACCAGTGGGAACCCGTGACACCAGTCAGCAGCCCCGAGAAACTCAAAGCAGTTTATAATCACAGACCTGGACTGCTTTTTTGTTTTGTTTTGTTTTGTTTTGTTTTGTTTTGTTTTGTTGAAACAGGGTTTCTCTGTGTAGTTTTGGTACCTGTCCTGTATCTCATTCTGTAGACCAGGCTGGCCTCAAACTCACAGAGATCTGCCTGGCTCTGCCTCCCGAGTGCTCAGATTAAAGGCGTGCGCCACCACGGCGCTGATCTGATCTTAATCTGAACTAACCTGAACTGATCTTAATCTCAGAAAAGACATCATATGATAAGGCTAAAGTTCAACAAAGTGATAAAAGGTACAAAGCAAGCATATTGAAATAAGGCATAATAAGAAATCAAGTTGGAAAGAATTAAATATAATTTTGAGGCATACAGAATTGTTAAAATCAAAACCCTAAAGAATAGAGTTAAGATCCAATGAGGGAGAAATCTGCTGCTCTAGGGAACCAATGGGAGAGAATTCTCCAGAACACAGAATATAAAGATGACCAAGGGCATGAAAAGGAGCTACAGAGCAAGGTGGACAGAATAGCAAGAGCCACATTTACCAGTTAGGGGTGCCCAAGGGGCATGGGGACTTAGTGGGGGAGGCACTGTCCAGTGCACACAGAGCCTGCTGGGGATGGACAAAAGCCACAGAGCCTCACATCAAAAGCTGGGACTCCAATGAGATGAGTACAGGAAACCTGCCGGACACGTGCTGTGGGACACACACACACAGTGACAGTGTCTTGCCCACAGAGAGGAGAGGCAAAGTATTTACACAGACTCTAAAGTTAGATGGACTGTTCACAAGCAAAAGCAGACCACAGAGAGCATCTTCACAGCGCAAGCAGAAGACAATACTCAACCTAGAACTCCATCTTCAGTTAAACCACCCCTGAGAGTGAAGATAAAATAAACAGAGTTTGGGTAAAGCAGAGATGAGGATCGAGCCCCACAAAATCCCCCACTTAAAAGAATGTTGTTTAAGAACAAAGGCAGAGAAGTGAGCAGCGAGAAACTATAATATTGAACAGGTGAGATGATAAATATATAAACAAAACTCAATAATTCTAACTGTACAAATGGTGACAATTGAGAGAAAATAAAATGAAAAAAAAAACAGAAAAGCAAAGATTTTTGAAGGTTTTTGTGTTATAAACAAAAGATTGTTGATGATCTGATACTTTAACAAAATCAGTGTTATGGTGTGTGTGTGTGTGTGTGTGTGTGTGTGTGTGTGTGTGTGTGTGTGTGTGTGTGATTTAAAGGTAACAACAAGTGGAAGGGAGAAGGAGGAACAGAGAAAACCTGGTTAGACCAATGGAAAGGGGTGTGGGGTAGTGGCACCATATGCAAGCAGAGGAATAGCATGGTACAAGAAATGGAAAACAAAATACAAGACGCTATAAAGAAATACAACCGCATCACTAACACCACAAAAACAAAACTATTCCCCTACCACTGAGGAAAGAGAGTCCTAAGTTGGAGTGTGTTCTCAGATACCGTTCCTTTACATTGTTGTTGAATCAGGCCCCCAGCTACTCTTCAACAGAGCTGGGGGCTGTGCCAGAGCCCCTGCGTCCCAGACAAGGCTCCACCAACTGCACTACCTACCCAGGGAGATACATACGACTTTTAAGAAACATGTAAAACATCCTAACGAAGAAGGATTAAAATTAAACTAGAGAAAGACAAATATCAGGCAAGCATAAAATGAAAATTGACAATATTAGATGCAAACACAAATAGAAGGTCAAAAGCCTAACCTGGGATAAAAATGGACTGTCAACATGATGATATAAGAGTTGGGTTTTTATCTCCAATTAACTGGTCAGGAATATAGCTTCAAAACCTGTGTGTATTAACTAACACTATGTTACAACGTATAAAGTAAACGTTGGTGAAATTAAAAGGTGGAATTAGCTGATCACAGTACACTGTGAGATTTTATATGTACCTCTAAAACAAATAAATCCAAGCATGCTCAAAATAATCATGCAAACATGAATGATTCCACCGTCATAACTTGAACTAATGAACGTTGTTCAAAAAATTAGGGAATACACATTTTAACTTTTAGTGTATGTGCATGCGCGCACACACACACACACACACACACACACACACACACACAGCAACCCACATTTATTAAAATAAAAATGCCAGGGCTGGGAAAATGGCTCATATGGTCAAGGTATGAGCTACCAAGCCTAAAACCCTGAGTTTGAACCCCAGGACCCACATGGTGGAAGGAGAGAATCAACACCCCAAAGCTGTCCTCTGACTTCTGCATACATGTCTACACACACACACACACACACACACACACACACACACACACAAAACAAATGTTTTTTAGAAGCCTACTTTCTAAACTAAAAATGCAAATCTCAACTATGACCAAAGAATCCATGTTATATGAAACGTGGTAGGGCCAAGACAACCATAAAAAACCCCAATGTCCAGAAGACAACTGCAAACTTGAACAACATGTAAAGGCCCCCAAAGTAGAGTCTCAGAAAATGGGAAACTGTAGAGAGATTCTGGGGGGAGTCAACACAGGAAAGAAAGAACGGCACAGGAGACGGAGGGAAGACTTCCTCGGCGCTTTGCTGGGAAGCCAGCCGTCCTTGAAACCTACAGGGCCAAAGGACAGAATGAGGGTGACAAACTGACAGGTAAGCTGTGGGAGCCCACAAAGATTCCAATGTGTGGCTTGACTCAAGGTCCGAGAGTCAGAGTGTATGTTGGTCTTCAAGGCTGCATAATAGGGTGCAAAGGCATGGTTGCCAGGTGTCTTATACTTCAAGGCCTAATCACAGGATGCTTTGCCGTGGGGCGTGGTTACCAGGTGTTTTGAAGGGTCTACACTTGGTTGTATATTGTGCTTTGATCTTGAAAGGGGGAAGTCTTTTGCCTCTCCCCTTGCTAGTGTATAAAAAGCCCATTATGAATAAACTCAAGGCTGATGGGTATTGACCCAGGGCCCTCCCGAAGCTATCCTGTATCTCTGCCTTTCTCTCTGTCTACTTCTATATTTCCTATCTAACATTTCTCAATTCCTCACTCTCTGCTTCAAGGGACTCTTGGATATGTGGGGGCTGGACCCCAACACTGGGCCCCAACAGTAATCATGGAAAAGACTGTATGGGAATTCTACCAAATCTCTGTGTTGTCTCTACATGAAACAGATTGTAGCTAAGGAATTTGAATAAAGGCACCCTGCATGGATACACAATGATAAGGGTTATTGAATAAAAATTGTTGTTCCAGACATGATGTACCTCCTTATGAGTGACAGGTCAAAGAAACTCCAGAGCTCTTCAAAACAATACAGGTCATTGTTATTGCCCTTGGTTACCCACCGTGACTACATGGTAAGACCCTATTTCTGATGACATCACAAACCGTGGCTGCAGGACATAGAGAAATCAATCTCAAATCAGTCAGGGAACTTCCTCCCTGCCAGCCAGCTTTCATAGTGCCAGAAGGTTCGATGCTGTGTGGGAGAGGAAAGACATCAATGGTCCTACCCAGGGCTGGACCCTACAGGCTACAATACCTACCTGCCAGGTAAGATGTGCCCATGTATGCAATAGTGGCATGATTATCATGGGTTAACCAACTGCTTTCTGATTGGATATGAGCCCTGCTCCATGGATGGAAATTCATGCTTGATACTGTAAACCTGGGCAGAAAAATATGGCTACGAAGATCAGAGGCCCTGTTGTCATTATTTTGCTAAATGTCCATCATATCAAATTGCCTTCAAATTACATTTATATTCACAGACCTCGACTGCTCTTCTCAGTTAGAGAAGCTTCTTTTTGGAGTCAGCGCAGATTTGAGTCAATGCACTGACTCATAGCTGATCCAAGTACTGAGAATAAGGGACTGTGAGTACTCAGCCCTAAATGGGACATCTCTATCACACTGTCACCAAGGCTCAGGGCGCATCGTAAAAAGGCGGGCGGAAACAAATGTTAAGAGGCAGGGATTGGGGAGGAGTCCTTTCTCCTGGATACGACAAGGTGACTGCACACATTAACTCATAGCACCCATGGTTATCTGTACCAGATCAAGCCAGCCACACTTGTCACACAGGTTGAGGAGGGAGAAGCCGTCTTCTTCGGCAGTGGCAACTGGGAGATTATCCGTGCTTCACTGGATAGCCCCACACCCATGCACACATGGGCAGTACTAATGGGACTTAGCCGGTGCTGGACAGATGGACAGATGGCTCAGCAATTCAAAGCACTGGCTGCTCTCCCAGAGGACCTTAGTTTAATTCCCAGCACCCACACAGCCGTGTCTACAACTCCGACAGTCTGTAGCCCCAGTTTCAAGAGACTTGATACTCTCTTCCAGCCTTCACAGTCACCAGGCATGCATGTGGTGCACAGACATGCATAGAAGCAGAACACCCATACACATAAGATAAAGCACATTTTCAATTGTTTTTAAAAAGGACTATTCTCTGAGCCACACTTTCATCAGCCTCATGAGTTCAGCTGTGCCTGCTAACAAGAGATCACTACAACCAGGCTTGTTCATTGCTGACTTTCTGTCACAGAAAGAGGGGCAGGGAGGGTCACTGGGACCTCACTGGAGTATCCAGCCACTTCTTGAAGTCAGTTATATGTAATTCTGCTCTAATTTCACGTGGCCTCCAGGAGGCTGGGAAGGACTAGGCAGGGCCTCCATCTACGAAGCTATAAGGAAGCCATCATCCACGCAGATCTTCCAGTAGCCCCATTCTTCTGCTTACAACCCCTCACCCAAGCTCTGTAAGCAACCCTAATAAACACATTGGTTCCCCAGGATGAACTGAGATGGAATCAAACTTTGGTTTATAATTGGGAGTTTATGAGGCCAGGGTTAGAATAGACATTGCCTAGACACCCCTTCTCACTGGAGAAAATTCTCTTAACAGTTGGTTATTTTTAAAAAGGAGGAGGAGGAGGACACGAAGTTGGGAAGGAGAGTATGTGTTGGGGAGAGTCCCAAGAGAGAAATAGGGGTGGGTATGATCATATTTTACTGTATACATGTGTCACATTCTCAAAGAATACATTTTTTAAATTGTTTAAAGAACTAACCGAGGTCTGAGCTGCCACCCAAGATACAAATGTTGTAATTTGAGTCCAGTAAAATTGTTTCTAGTAAGACATTCTCCAGAGGAACAGAACCCGATGTCTCCACAATACAATGTTTATAACATCCAGAGCACAATCCAAAATTAGTTGACATGCCAAGAATCAGGAGCATGTGACCTACTTTCAGGAGAACAGACAAAGGAGACAAAACCAAACATCCCAGATGTTAGAGTAGTTCATAGGAACGTTAAAGTGACGCTCATCACCATGCTCAAGGGGTTGAAGGAAAATGTGCTCATGATGGGTGAAAAGATTTAAAAAAAAAATCTCAGCAGAGACACTGGGACTATAAAAAAGAACCCAGTGAAATTATCACATGAATCTACTCTCCAATCGTTACACACAGAATTATAAACCATCTTTAAAAATGGCTAAGAATCTGTATGGGCTTTAATCTGAACGGGTTATAAAAATACCCTCTGGCCATTTGAGCTACTGTGTGAAAAGATAGAGCCAGTAGTTGAAACCCAAAGACCCATCTCTAAATTCATAACCACTATATCGCACTGTTTCTCTAATGGGTAAATAAACAAACAAACATTACAGAAACTAGAGAACATTTAGACCTGAAAACTACAAATAGTACACGTCAAAAGCTGTCTGCAGCCAAAAATGTGCTAAAACGGAAATGCATAGTCTCGAATATGTGAATTAAAATGACTTAAGAGACAGTGGCTCACATATGAATCCTAACATTCAGAAAACAGGTAGAGGAAGGAAGGTCACAAGTTCAAAGCCAGCCAGGGATACATAGAAAGTTCCAGGTCAACCTATATAATACGACCTATCACAGGAGGGAAAATAAAAAGATTCAAAAGACAAAAAATTTAGTGAGGTAGGTATTCTACTCAAGAAAGTACGGGGAAAGCAAGAGGACTGTAAAGAATATTTAAAAAAAAAAAAAGAAGGAAGGGAGGGAGGGAGGGACAGAGAGAGGGAGGACAGAGGGGGGAGAGGACAGAGGGAGGGAGGAGAAAAAGATGGTTCAGTAGTGAGAACAATGATGGAGACCGGAGTTGGGATGCAGCACCCACGTGACCTGTCAGACATCCTGTACTCCCCAATAACCCCAGGTCCAGGGATGAGGCAAAGACAGGTCTTGCTGGCTTCCAGTCTAGTTGAAAAAACGCAAGCCCCAAACTCAGCAAGAGAGAGAGACCCTGCCTCTAAAAGAATAGGTGGAGAGTGACAGAGAACGGCACCTGGCACATTCTTATGGCCTCTACACACAAAAACACACATTCCTGCACACACATATCCACACACATCCATACATAGCATACATACATGTATGTATACTAACACAGACACATACATACATTCATAAATCTTTAATATAAATAAATCAAATAAAAATAAATAGAGCTAGGCATGATGGTATGTGCCTATGGTGCCAAGTACTCTGGAAACTGAGACAGGAGGATCATTTGAGCCCAAGAGTGAATATTAGCTGGGGCAATACACTGAGACTCCTTTTGAATATAGAACAACAAATAGACAACAAATAGAAAAACAATATACATAAATATAATTTATAAGTTAAAGAAGTGGAAAACAAAAAGCAGTAGGGAGGAAAAAGCTAAGTCCTTGGAACGATGAGTAGGCAAACTTCTACCGTGCATGAATGAACTTGATTTACATTCATCAGCGTAGATAAGGCTGGAAACCATTACTGTGAATGATAAATGTAAGCTGCACAATATGAAACCACTTATGTAGATTCTAAAATACAGAAAGCACAACACACAGCTTACCACTCTGTGCAGAAGGCAGGAGATGACAGAGTCGCACCAGCATGGTGGCTTCTCCTGGAGAGCACTTCAGAGGGAGTCTGAGGGCCATGAATGTTCATTTCTCTCTGCAACCACTACGGCCAGATGCTAACATGCCTTCAATCAGGGTGCTGGGGGACAGGTTTTCTGTTTTTCTGTCCTGTGTGGTGTCTTTGCCTGATATTCTGTTACTAAAAATAAACTGCACCCTCTTTATTTTGCTAGTCTTCCTCCCCCACCCCACCCCTCCAGATTGTCAGGGACCTAAGGGCTAGTGAGAGCAGAAAACGTAAGCTTGAGACCTCCAAGGGAACTTTCCAATCTTGAAAAACAAAACCTTGGGTTTTGTTTGTTTTGTGAATTTTCCTATGAAATGGATGACAGGAACAAGGATGGCCATGAGAGCCTGTGGGTCCCACCTCAGTGTTCTGTGGGGGCCCCTCCCTGTCTACTGAATCTAGAACCAGGACACTGGAGTGATGGTGTCTCGATGGAGAATAAACATATGGATAATTTAACCATGGTAGCTGTAATAATAGCCAGTTGTTTACTAAGTGGCTAAGTGTGAGTACACACCAATTCAGCTTTCCCACAGCCCAAGAAGACATTGTTCAGCTGTAGATGAGGGGAAGGAAGGCTGTCATTCCAAACTTGTCTGAGATCTCCAAGCTCCTCTACTGTTTCCAAAGGAGACGTGGAGGAAGTGACAAGCCAACCGTGGTATCTAGGCTTACATTTCTCCTTTCTCAGCCAGGCATTGTGGGAGCGCCCTTAGCCACATCTCTCAGCAGTGGAAGTGGGGCCAGCCAATCTCCTTGCACTGCTGGCCAACAATGACTGGGAGAAGCAGGCAAGACATCTCTCATCATTTCTCTGTAGAATGGTAAGCTGCATGTTGGGGTAAGCGCCATGTTCCAGATGAGAAAACAGAGGCTGGGAGGGCTCGAATTGTTTCCTGTCCCCAAATCCTCAAGCTCCAATCCCCAGTGCTTCAAAATGTAGCTGTATTTGTAGATAACATTTTTCTGCAAGTAACTAAAATATGAAGCCACCAAAGTGGGTCCCTGAGAAAACACACAGAAGGAAGATGAGTATCTATGAACCGAGAAGAAAGGCCTGGAACAGATTACCTCTCACAGCCTCAGAAAGACCAACCTGGCCAACCCCTGGTCTCAGGCTTCCAGCCCCCACAACCATGGAGAGGTTTAGGCCCCACTCGAGTATGGGGTTTTGGTATGGAAGGCCCAGCAGACTGAGACAGATGAACCGAGGTGCTAAGTCTCACTAAAGGGAACTGGAATTGAGCCTCTAACACAAGTCTTCCTTCTGCTTCTTATGGCATAATAATTATTAAATATTAGTGTCTGCTCTTAGTGTTCACAGAAGAGCATTTTGCAAATTATATGCAAACAGGTATGTAAAGTATTGATTT